TTAACACCGAGACGGTATTTTGTTACTTTACACTGTCACGGAAGTATGTTACTTTACACTGTCACGGAAGTATGTTACTTTACACTGTCACGGAAGTATGTTACTTTACACTGTCACGGAAGTATGTTACTTTACACTGTCACGGAAGTATGTTACTTTACACTGTCATGGAAGTATGTTACTTTACACTGTCACGGAAGTATATTACTTGACACTGTCACGGAAGTGTGTTACTTTACACTGTCACGGAAGTATGTTATTTTACACTGTCACGGAAGTATGGTACTTGACACTGTCACGGAAGTGTGTTACTTTACACTGTCACGGAAGTATGTTATTTTACACTGTCACGGAAGTATGGTACTTTACAATGTCACGGAATTATGGTATTTAACACTGCTACGGCAGTATGGTACTTTACAATGTCACGGAATTATGGTATTTAACACTGCTACAGCAGTATGGTACTTTACAATGTCACGGAATTATGGCACTTAACACTACCACGGCAGTATGGTACCTTACAATGTCACGGAATTATGGTACTTAACACTGCCACAGCAGTATGGTCCTTTACAATGTCACGGAAGTATGGTACTTGACAATGTCATGGAATTATGGTACTTTACAATGTCACGCAATAATGGTACTTTACAATGTAACGGAATTATGGTACTTTACAATGTCACGGAAATTAAGACACATATATGAAATTGTCAACAAACTGTCGGTCGTTTGAAGACTAATCAATGAAGGACTGCGTTCACGCTGTGTGAAGGAACTAGCAGAACGAGGCGTGTGGTGGCTGGAAATATAAAGACAGGGCAATAAAAGAAGAGCGTATCGGCTAAGAGCCTCCCACGACAAACAGGACTAGGCAACAGAAAACATACTGGAAATAAATTGTTTGTTGTTGTTTTTTGTTGTTGTTGTTTCATTGTTGTTTAGAATACGAGACACCAGACCTACACTTCAAACCTAAAATAATTTTCAAACAACGCATAACAGTGAAACTAATTGTATCGTGCATTGCGTGTGTGTGTGTGTCTCTGTGTGTGTGTGTGTGTCCGTGTGAAGTGTGCGACAATGTGTGTGCGTCTATTATGTTGTTCGGCATGTGGTGTGTGAGGTGTGTGTGTGTTTGGGCAACAGCAGTAATTTCAATTCTGGTTTCGAATCCCTCCACTGTATTGGGAGAGCGCCCCCCCCCCCAAAATATTCCTAAAACACATAAAATGGTGCCATGCTATGAACGAACCTACTTCATGAAATATCAAATCAACTTTCTAAATCAACTAATTTTGAAATATAAATTTTTATTTTAATGTAAAATTCTTGAGCGTGAGGGGGGGGGGGGGTTGTTGGTTTGTTGTAAAAAATCAAATTACCCCCCCCTATTTTTAAAATAAAATTTTTTTTTTAATTTAAAAATTTTGGGGGGGGGGGGGGGGGGGGTTTTTGGGTTGTTGTCAAAAATCAATATCCCCCCCCCCCCTCCATCATTTTCCTCTAATAAGACAACTGCATTTAGTTGCTTTTAATATAAAACCGCCCCCCCCCCCTTGCTAAACAGGTTTCTTCCCGCGTGTAATCGAGTCTCCCGGTAAAAGATCTCGAGTGCAAGATCGAGTGCCTTGTGGAGAGCGATACCCGGTCTTAATTGGGAGGACGATACCCGGGCTAATTGGAGGGACGGCCAACCGACGAGGCCCCTGGAATCAAGATGAAATTTACGTCTTGCTGCGAGCTGGGCCCTAGAACAGTTGAAGAGTCCCAGTTATGCCCCTTCACGCTGGCCTCGAGGAGGTGCTCTCCCTTCGGAGACGAAAAACTATTGATGCTGCTAATTCGATTTTGGCCAACAGATGGTTGAGTCCAAGGCATAGTTGGTACTCGTTGGACATGAACATATGGGCCATGCATAGACACGGCTCACCTGACCATAACAAATGGGTTAATATATGCAGTGTCCAAGTGACCCTAACGTCTTAAAATATGTGTGGCATATATCCATGGACAAACTGATCCCGAGATATGAATAGCGCAAAACGTGGAGGAAAAAGAACCTGTTACATGTTTTAGACACGAGCAGCGACAAGTATCATTCTATTTATAGTTAGAGATGATGTATACGGTTTTGATTACAACCAGGTCTTATGCATGAACAACAGATCAAACACGACCATAGAGTCGACGTATCACCATACAGTCCAAGTATACATGGCAGTCCAAGTATACAATCCTAGTATGGCCATAATATCCAGGCATTTTATTATTTCAACAAAAGATAGATAAAGAAACACCCACAACTGTCAGCATATAAACACCCACAACTATCAGCATATAAACACCCACAACTGTCAGCATATAAACACCCACAACTGTCAACATATAAACACCCACAACTGTCAACATATAAACACCCACAACTGTCAGCATATAAACACCAACAACTGTCAACATATAAACACCCACAACTGTCAGCATATAAACACCCACAACTGTCAGCATATAAACACCCACAACTGTCAGTATATAAACACCCACAACTGTCAACATATAAACACGCACAACTGTCAACATATAAACACCCACAACTGTCAACATATAAACACCCACAACTGTCAACATATAAACACCCACAACTGTCAACATATAAACACCCACAACTGTCAGCATATAAACACCCAAAACTGTCAACATATAAACACCCACAACTGTCAGTATATAAACACCCACAACTGTCAGCATATAAACGCCCACAACTGTCAACATATAAACGCCGACAAATGTCAACATATAAACGCCAACAACTGTCAACATATAAACACCAACAACTGTCAACATATAAACACCAACAACTGTCAACATATAAACGCCAACAATTGTCAACATATAAACGCCGACAAATGTCAACATATAAACACCAACAACTGTCATCATATAAACGCCAACAACTGTCAACATATAAACGCCGACAAATGTCAACATATAAACGCCGACAAATGTCAACATATAAACACCAACAATTGTCAACATATAAACACCAACAACTGTCAACATATAAACACCAACAACTGTCAACATATAAACACCAACAACTGTCAACATATAAACACCAACAATTGTCAACATATAAACACCAACAACTGTCAACATATAAACACCAACAACTGTCAACATATAAACACCAACAACTGTCAACATATAAACGCCAACAACTGTCAACATATAAACGCCGACAAATGTCAACATATAAACACCAACAACTGTCATCATATAAACGCCAACAACTGTCAACATATAAACGCCGACAAATGTCAACATATAAACGCCGACAAATGTCAACATATAAACACCAACAATTGTCAACATATAAACACCAACAACTGTCAACATATAAACACCAACAACTGTCAACATATAAACACCAACAACTGTCAACATATAAACACCAACAATTGTCAACATATAAACACCAACAACTGTCATCATATAAACGCCAACAACTGTCAACATATAAACGCCGACAAATGTCAACATATAAACGCCGACAAATGTCAACATATAAACACCAACAATTGTCAACATATAAACACCAACAACTGTCAACATATAAACACCAACAACTGTCAACATATAAACACCAACAACTGTCAACATATAAACACCAACAATTGTCAACATATAAACACCAACAACTGTCATCATATAAACGCCAACAACTGTCAACATATAAACGCCGACAAATGTCAACATATAAACGCCGACAAATGTCAACATATAAACACCAACAATTGTCAACATATAAACACCAACAACTGTCAACATATAAACACCAACAACTGTCAACATATAAACACCAACAACTGTCAACATATATACACCAACAACTGTCAACATATATACACCAACAACTGTCAACATATAAACACCAACAACTGTCAACATATAAACACCAACAACCGATATGTGATGAACATGATTTCGTTTCCTTTTTTTTAAAAAAACGCTGTTTACAGCAAGGGAGAGTACACGATTATAATCACCAGGTTAATCTTTCGCTACTACTTCCCTTTTCTTCCGAACCTTCCTGTGGCCTAGAAATTTATTCCCGTGGTCTTGTTAAAGAGCAGCTGACATTAAGATGTTGAGCTCGAAATTAAATGAAGCCTTGAATTCAGCATTAAACAACTAATCATGTTATGAATTCAGCATTAAATAACTAAATTAAATCATAAATTCAGCATTAAATAACTAAATCAGGAATTCAGTATTAAATAACCAATCATATAATGAATTCAGCATTAAATAACTAAATCAGGAATTCAGTATTAAATAACCAATCATATAATGAATTCAGCATTAAATAACTATGCTAATTCAGACCACTCTGAATTCAGAATTAAATAGATAGACAAAATCAAATCGTGAATTCAGAATCAAATAACTAATCAAATCATGTATTTTTTATTACTGTCTCCTTAATCATCTGTTATTGTTTTGTTTTGTTTTTTTTTGTTGCTATTTTTAAACTGATAATTTTAAAAAAATAGACCTTCCCCTCATTTCTCCAGTACCCCATTGAAAGGTTGGCAGACGCCTTTGGTTGGTCTGTTTCCCTAGCAGGACCAATAGTGGAAACATAATTTACTGCAACAATAACTAACTGCTACCAAGTTTTGAAATATCATTTTTTTATTTAAGGAACCATGTGCATCTCATATAACACAAAATTATGTCATTTTTGCCCTCCCCCCCTTTTTCTTTACGACTAATAACGTTAAACAATACAGCCATGACCATTCCTAGTATTATAAAACATTTCTTTGACCCCCCCCCCCAACCCAATTCAACATGTTCACTACAAAAATTTGGGGTTTTATCATTCAAAATTATGTCATTTTTGCCCTCCCCCCCTTTTTCTTTACGACTAATAAAGTTAAACAATACAGCCTTGACCCTTCCCAGTATTAAAAAACATTTCTTTGACCCCCCCCCCCCAACCCAATTCAACATGTTCACTACAAAAATTTGGGGTTTTATCATTTTAATTTCAACAGTTTCTGTCAACCCCAAGATCGTCCACACACAAATCCCCAAATAAAGATCAAAACAGAACCAAACAAATAAATTGCTATCCAAATACCAGAAAGTATTTTCTACAAAAATATGCTATTTTTTCTTTAAAGCAAAAAAAAAAAATATAATTCAGTTTTTAATTCACTAGGCTAATTTCGTAAATTTTAACAGCATAATGTTTATTTGAAAAAATTGGAATTAAGTTGAAGAAAAAAAAACTCCTAAAAAAACCAATCAAGAAATACAAATTAATTGTTGTAAAACATTGATCTAGCAGGATCCTTGATGTATCAAATAATTAAGTCGTAGTAATTGAGTCGTAGAAATTAGGTCGTAGTTATTACTTCGTAGTTATGAGGTCGTAGTTATGAGGTCGTTGTCATTAGGTCGTGGTAATTAGGTCGTTGTCATTAGGTCGTGGTAATTAGGTCGTTGTCATTAGGTCGTGGTAATTAGGTCGTTGTCATTAGGTCGTTGTCATTAGGTCGTTGTCATTAGGTCGTGATAATTAGGTCGTGGTAATTAGGTCGTGGTAATTTGGCCGTAGTTATAAGTTCGTAGTTATGAAGCCGTAGTAACTAGTTCGTAGAATCTGGTTGTAGAATTAGGTTGTAGTAATAAGGTTGTAGTAACTAGTTCGTAGAATCTGGTTGTAGAGTTAGGTTGTAGTAATAAGGTCGAAGTGACTGCTTCATGTTATGAGGTCGTAATAATTAGGTCGTAGTTTCGGGAAATCTGCACACGGTACGTAAAGAATGTCTATCAGACACACTAAAACACTTCAGTGTCACGCTGCCAGCAATTAGTAACGTTAAATTGCCTATTTTGACACACCCCCTCCACACCCCCGGGCCCCGCAATACATTGATATATATTGTCTCAGACATATGTCTATCATAGAGGAATCGTTATCTACTGACGGTTAATGGTTCTATTGAAAAAGGGATACAGTTCGAAAGTAGGTCATCTTGATGCAGAGAATAGCGTGATCACACAAACAAACACACAACTAAAACAAATATGATCACACAAACAAACACACAACTAAAACAAATATGATCACACAAACAAACACACAACTAAAACAAATATGATCACACAAACAAACACACAACTAAAACAAATATGATCACACAAACAAACACACAACTAAAACAAATATGATCACACAAACAAACACACAACTAAAACAAATATGATCACACAAACAAACACACAACTAAAACAAATATGATCACACAAACAAACACACAACTAAAACAAATATGATCACACAAACAAACACACAACTAAAACAAATATGATCACACAAACAAACACACAACTAAAACAAATATGATCACACAAACAAACACACAACTAAAACAAATATGATCACACACGACTAAAGTATCACTTTGGCCAAAGCCTGGTCGAAATCTTTGATCAAATCATCGGCGTCTTCCAGGCCGATGCTGAGGAGAGAGAGAAGAGAGGCTGGGTTAAACGAGACATTCGATGAATGTTATTACGATACTAGATATGTTTCCGTCAAAAGTGACGGGCGTTTTTTATAAACGAGTTTGGCTTTAGATTTCACAAGGTGTATTCAATTTTTCAGAATTGCTTTCAGAGTTTTCGGAGTCTGGAGAAAATAAATTAATTTAAAATATAGTTTACTTTAAATTAAAGAGTTATTTTATGGCGACGTTTTTGGTGAATCTGCTAAAATGTTACAAACATTGGGCTTGATAGATTGTATTTGAAGTAGACAACTTCAAAGTGTCAGTGGTGTGGCCTACTTCTTACGGTAAAATAGCCATGACTATGACGTCTTAGGTCAGGAAAATATACTGCTACGTAATGGAAATCTTACAGCATCCATTCGAATCGCATTTTTAACAGAATGGAAACCAGACCTGTTTTAAATAACAATTTAATAGTAACGTCTTCCAACCACAAGAGTCCACGTCAAAGTCATGGTGACGTCCAAAAAAAACAAACCAGTATCCACGTCAGAGGCGTAGCGTGGTGGGGCAGGGGGAGACAGATGTCCCCGGGCGCCAGCTAGTTAGGGGCGCCAAAATGTGCTTTGATATTATTTTATTGATGAAAATAATGGGTTTTAGAGTTGAAAAAAAGAAAAAGGGGCGCTAAAAATGGATCTTGTCCCCGGGCGCGAATCTTGTCCCCGGGCGCCAAACACCCTCGCTACGCCACTGATCCACGTCATAGTCACCAATGACGTCCACACGCATTTAACGATCCAGATCGTAAATAATTGGTGGACTAAATCAGAATTGCCACCAGTATCTAATTCTAAGATACCAGGAGTAACACCACCGTAAATCACTTCTCAACACACCTGGAGTAATGCGGCCGTAACTCACGTCTCAACAAACCTGGAGTAATGCCACCGTAACTCGCTTCTCAACACGCCTGGAGTAATGCCACCGTAACTCACTTCTCAACACACCTGGAGTAATGCCACCGTAACTCACTTCTCAACACACCTGGAGTAATGGGTGATATCACCATTACCTGATTCTCAACATGCCCGGGGTGATGCCACCATTACCTGATTCTCAACATGCCCCGGGGTGACGCCACCATTACCTGATTCTCAACATGCCCGGGGTGATGCCACCATCATCTGTCTCTTGCTGTGACAGCAGGTAGGGCCCGTGGGTCATGCTGTAAGGATGCTCCAACAGACTCTCTGTCCCGCCCAGTGATACAGCGAGACGGATGATTCGGACGTTCTGTCAAATGATACAACACATATCTTATTCTCAACATTCTGTCAAATGATACAACACATATCTTATTCTCAACATTCTGTCAAATGATACTACACATATCTTATTCTCAACATTCTGTCAAATGATACAACACATATCTTATTCTCAACATTCTGTCAAATGATACAACACATATCTTATTCTCAACATTCTGTCAAATGATACTACACATATCTTATTCTCAACATTCTGTCAAATGATACTACACATATCTTATTCTCAACATTCTGTCAAATGATACAACACATATCTTATTCTCAACATTCTGTCAAATGATACAGAACATATCTTATTCTCAACATTCTGTCAAATGATGCAACACATATCTTATTCTCAACATTCTGTCAAATGATACAACACATATCTTATTCTCAACATTCTGTCAAATGATACAACACGGGAAATTAGGTCCCTACTCATCCATGTTTACACTGAGACGGGGCAACTTATAATTCTTTAATGGACTATGGTTATAATAACTCACTTGGATAAGGAGGAGGGAGTGGAACCTAAGTTTTCTATCTGCGATCAGCTAGTACCAGTTTCCTTCGCCCATAGAAGCCGTGATTTGATCATCACCATCTGTCCTTTGAGTTCATTGTAGAAAATAAGGCCTCTTTCACAGTATGCCGCATTACAGGGTCTCTGGCCAGTTTTTTTTAAATTTCATCCTAGCTCTTTCCTGTACTTTCAGCCTCATCCAGCACAATGCGCCTCCATGTTCTTTCAGCCTGATTCAGCACAATGCACCTCCGTGTTCCTTCAGCCTCATCCAGCACAATGCACCTCCATTTTCTTTGAGCCTCATCCAGCACAATGCAACTCCATGTTGCTTCAGCCTCATCCAGCACAATGCGCCTCCATGTTCTTTCAGCCTCATTCAGCACAATGCGCCTCCATGTTCCTTCAGCCTCATTCAGCACAATGCACCTCCATTTTCTTTCAGCCTCATCCAGCACAATGCGCCTCCATGTTCCTTCAGCCTCATCCAGCACAATGCGCCTCCATGTTCCTTCAGCCTCATCCAGCACAATGCACCTCCTTGTTCTCTTGGGTCTTCTCCAGCGTCGTCTTGCCCTGGGGTTTCCCTTAAAACGACTGTCTAGCCCTGTTGTTGGTGTCTCTCCGGGGGGTGTGTGTCCCTCTTTTCTTTCCTGGATTTGCTTCTCTACTGCTTGCTGTCCCCACATCTCACACAACATGATGTTTTCAATCTTATCATACAATTTTATTTTCCATATAGTTTCTCAGGGATCAGTTGATAAAGGTCTGGATTCTGTTTGCTTTAGTTTCTTTTGTTCTTCATGAGTTGATAATAAGATCTTTAATAAACAGGGAATTGACTATCTGAAAACATCGTCCCATCTTATTTACAAAAAAGTTTACTGTTTACTTTCATTTTAAGAGTATAACTACAGTGTAGGTAAAGAATTCCCCGAGGTGGTGGTTCCCATCATCTGCTTACCTCAGCTACGGTGCGCCCTCCGTATTCTCCGCCCTTGATCTCCGCCATCAACATCCCACTGAACGCCGACATTTGTTTCTTGGCGATCTCGTGCTGTGGGTGAGACTTGAGCCCCGGGTAGTTGACACGCTGCACCTGGGAACATGCGCAAGGGTCATGAGTGCGATCGTAACTCTGCGTTACGACCGCTTAGAAAGAAAAAAAAAACGCTTTTATTTTCTGGGAGAAAAAGTGGGAGGCGTCCAAGGGCAGGCTACTCTGCTTTACAAACATTTGGAGCACCCCCAGTATGTCTACATAGGACAGTTGTGACGACAGGCATCCCCCGTATGTCTATATGCCTTCTTCGAACCAATGACATGAACATCAGGAAGGCGTTAAGTTGCCTCTGCTACTGACCTTTGGATGTTGTTCCAGGAAGGTCGCCACTTTCAGGGCGTTGGCGCTGGTTCTTTCCATCCTGAGTGTCAACGTCTTCAGACCTCTGAGTACAAGACTGGCGTCATGGGGAGACTGGGGGAGAAAATGGAGTTCATTGTATAAAGAACAGGCTCATTTTATATATTTTAAATTATATGTCAAATCGTCTTTTAAATTTAGAGAGATATTGTAAACTTTCAATTATACTTTTCAGGTGAATTTTCTATTATTCTTCAAAAACATTTGATATTTATGATTTTTTTAAAAATATATTGAATGGTTATTTTTCAGAACAAAAGTGTATGAAGTCACAATTCAAATGAATTAAAATTTACTTTTCACGTATATTTATGACACAATAACGGACAGACACATTAGCATCTGCAAAGAAACATTCACAAAGCCTTCACTAATATGGTAGCTGAAACGTTGTTCTACTAGAACTGATTCTATTGAGAGAATCCTCCAGTAAACAATGAAACGAAATAATCGTTATTGTTCTGGAATTTGACGTAAAATAAATTGGAGACAATTTTTTTTTTTGAAAATTCAAATTTTCCCCATACCCAATGCTCGGTGTTGTATTTTTTTTAAGTCATAAGAGTGGACTTCCGGACGGGTGAGTTGCTGTTTTTGGTTTTTTTAAGTCTTAAACTCCAACCAACGTAGGGACCCACTTACCAACATGTTTCCAAATGTTCCCTGGATGTGTTTGAGGATACGCCACTGCTCAACGGTTCTTGTGGTGACGACTCCGCCGATCAGATCTGAATGTCCACTGATGTACTTGGTGCTGTCAACGGAGACGAGGTGGGGGGGGGGTGTTCATGGTTGGAATACAGTTAGAATAATGGCAAATGACCACATTGTAGATATAATAGGATAAATGGTCAAACAGCAGGAAGAGTAGAATAAAGGGTCAAACAGCAGGTAGAGTAGAATAAATGGTCTAATAGTGGGTAGAGTAGAATAAATGGTCAAATAGCGGGTAGGGTAGAATAAATGTTCTAATAGCGGCTAGAATAGGATAAATGGTCAAACAGCAGGTAGAGTAGAATAAAGGGTCAAACAGCAGTTAGAGTAGAATAAATGGTCTAATAGCGGGTAGAGTAGAATAAATGGTCAAATAGCGGGTAGAGTAGAATAAATGGTCAAATAGCGGGTAGAGTAGAATAAATGGTCAAACAGCGGGTAGAGTAGAATAAATGGTCTAATAGCAGGTAGAGTAGAATAAATGGTCAAATAGCGGGTAGAGTAGAATAAATGGTCAAATAGCGGGTAGAGTAGAATAAATGGTCTAATAGCGGGTAGAGTAGAATAAATGGTCAAATAGCGGGTAGAGTAGAATAAATGTTCTAATAGCGGGTAATGTAGAATAAATGGTCTAATATCGGGTAGAGTAGAATAAATGGTCTAATAGCGGGTAGAGTAGAATAATTGGTCTAATAGCGGGTAGGGTAGAATATAATAAATGGTCTAATAGCGGGTAGAGTAGAATAATCGGTCTAATAGCGGGTAGGGTAGAATAAATGGTCTAATATCGGGTAGTGTAGAATAAATGGTCTAATAGCGGGTAGAGTAGAATAATTGGTCTAATAGCGGGTAGGGTAGAATAAATGGTCTAATATCGGGTAGAGTAGAATAAATGGTCTAATAGCGGGTAGAGTCGAATAATTTTTTTAAAAGCGGGTAGAGTGGAATAAATGGCCAGATAGCGGGTAGAGTAGAAAACCTAGTCCACATTGGCGGAGTAAGGGAATGGATGGGTCCGGACTTGTTTTTTGACATGGGAGGGGGGGAGCGCTTTTTTCGTCGCACGGTGGTGGGTTGTTTTTTTATCGTGGAAGTGGGGGGGTTCCTCAGAAATCTTGGCACTCCCCTTGTGTCACTTACCCTGGCTTCGCCGCTGACCGTCTAATAAAAGGTAGAAAGCAAGATAGAAAGTGGCCTAATACACATTGACTCCGATGTGTAATGCAAAAAATAAAAGATTAACATGTGGAAATTCGTACACGGTGACGGACATTATCTTTTTTCTTCTCATCTTGTTTTGTTGTTAATTCCTGAAACCGCTCGGGGGGGGGGCGAGATGACAAGTTGAAAACATACCTGTTCAATCAACCTCACCCATGGCGCAAGTTTTAAAAAAGTATACTCAATCTTAAAGGGTCGGACAATTTTTTTTTTTTTTTTTTTTTTTTTTTGTGCAGACGACCGAAGGTAAATGATCTTTTGTCGGGCCGGATGACATATTTATGTGTTTGACATATGTCATTTACTTCCATGAAACTAGGATTCAAACATTTCGGTCCGTGTTCATCTCGGGAATGAGCTTTTGATTTTTTTTGTTTTTTTTTTTTTTTTTTTTTTTTTTTTTTGTGCAGACGACCGAAGGTAAATGATCTTTTGTCGGGCCGTATGACATATTTATGTGTTTGACATATGTCATTTACTTCCATGAAACTAGGATTCCAACATTTCGGTCCGTGTTCATCTCGGGAATGAGCTGTTGATTTTTTTTGTTACTATCATTATTTGTTTATAATCGTTTATTGTGTTTACAATAATTCAAAGGCATTTATAGATACACACATTCAATTTTTTTTGTTTACATTTTACGAGAACAGTTTACATTTTACGAGAACAGTTTGCGCACATTCGTCCGGGCCCCATTACACGTTTCAGCGGGCCGCAGGCTGCCCACCCCACTCCTGATTTAACCTTATAATAATTAAATTAGTCTTAAGATCCAACGATGGTGGAATCAGTAGTCTATTGGTGGGGGTCAGAAATCCATTGGTGGGGTCAGTAATACATTGGTGAGATCAGCAATCCATTGGTGGGGTCAGTAATACATTGGTGAGATCAGCAATCCATTGGTGGGGTCAGTAATCTATTGATGGGGTCAGTATATTTCTATCGATGGTGTGAGTAATCTATTGATGGGTCAGTAATCTATCGATGGGGTGATTGATCTATTGATGGGGGCAGTAATATATTAGGGGGTGAATAATCTATTGATGGAGTCTGTAATCTATGTGTGGGGTGAGTAATCTATTGATGGGGTCAGTAACACATTGGTGAGATCAACAATCCATTGGTGGGGTCAGTAATCTATTGTTGGGATCAGTAATCTATTGATGGAGTCAGTAATCTATTGGTGGGGTCAGTAATCTATGGGGTGAGTAATCTATTGGTGGGGTGAGTAATCTATTTAGTGGGTCAGTAATACATTGATGGGGTGAGTAATCTATTGAGGGGGTCAGTAATCTATTGGTGGGGTGATTAATCTATTGATGGGGTCAGTAATCTATTGAGGGGGTCAGTAATCTATTGGTGGGGTGAGTAATCTATTGATGGGGTCAGTAATCTCTTGATGGGGTCAGTAATCTATTGATGGGGTCAGTAATCTATTGATGGGGTCAGTAATCTATGGGGTCAGTAATCTATTGATGGGGTCAGTAATCTCTTGGTGGGATCAGCAAAAAACAACTTTATAACGACCAACACCTATGACAAAATAAAATGCCAACTAGGCATCATCAACACCGATTCAAGAATGCAACTCGTCCCTACCAGCTGTGCATGGAGAAGTCGATGCCCAGGGGCATGAAGTGCTGCAGTGCCGGACTGCCGAACGTGCCGTCCACGCCGACCAGAATGTCCTTTGATTTCGCCAGCTTGGTCAGTTCCTCGACGTCCGCCACGGCAGCGTCAGGATTACTCGGTGTTTCTATCCACAACAGCTGCATCGATGAAGATGAGAAGAAGAGAACAAAATGATATTTGACTGTAAGACAACTTCAGAGATATTGGCATCTTAACAGTGATGGTAGTATTCGAGATATGATTTTATTTCTCTATGGCGTATTGAAATATGTCATAGTATTTGGTTTTAATCTATTTTTTCATGTTATAGGTTTCTATTTATATTTCACTGCATGTAATAGGTTTCTATTATTTCACAGCATGTTATAGGTTTCTATTTATATTTCACTGCATGTTATAGGTTTTTCTTTATATCTCACTGCTTATTTTTCTTAGTTTGTTCTACAGAAATGCAAACCTTATGTTGTATACTTAGTTTAGTTCCCCCCCCCCCCCACTCGCTCTTTTTTTTCATTTTCTTTTGTCCACTTGTCTCTATTCTTTTAACGATATATTCCACTTCGTCACCTTTATCTGTCTGCCTGTCTGTTTCTCTGTCTGTCTATCCGTCCATCCATTCTTTCAGTTATAGGTATCATTAACTGATACCGGACCGAAACGGGACCATGGTTTTATGTCACGTGACCAGCTCGGGCTAATGCGCCAGGTCATCACGGTCACGTAGGGGTAACCGATATCTATTCCCGTACTGACCGAGACTGGACGCAGCTTAAGTTGTTACGGTCATTTTGGAGTACCGGTACGAGGAGTATCACCCCCCGTAATTACACGACCTTCCATACTCGAGTGTATGTAATGCTACAACATTTGCATCTCATCGTTTTCTTACACAATCAACATAAGTATGGTCCACGCTGAAACCGGAGCAGCAAAGGGTTAACACCCAAAGAGCAGCTAACGCTATTCATTCATTTTTGTGTTTCAATCGCTGTTTGGACTTTCACCAAAAAACCAACCTTGCAGCCGACTTGCACCGCAATCACCAAAGTGCCACTTTATTGGCGGCTAAACTAAAAATGCATTATCTATTGGAAACGAAACCAGTTTTTTTTTTTTTTTTTTTTTTTTTTTTTTTTTTTTTTTTTTTTTTTTTTTTAATAAAAAAAAAAAAAAAAAAAAATAGGACAAAGTATGAAAGACTTTATAAAAGGATGGGCGTTACCTTGGTGTTTGGTTTGATGAGCTTCGCCACCTCCTCCACCGTGACATTCTTGACGGTGGACAGCTCCACTCCGTACGCGTCCCTCAGCAGTTTGAGCGCCGTCGCCGTCCCAGGGTACACCGGGATCTGGTGGATCTGCGGATATCGGTGGAGATCGATACTTTACCCGATCATCGCTGCCCTACTGTATTGATTCCCATCTATTCAATATGCCCCGTCGCTTCCCTAGCTTGACCATGTCATGTCCTGTTTATAGATCAGCCCTGACTGGCCTTGTCCATACGTGCCCCATGACTGACCAAACCCAAAAAAACTCCAATGACTGACCAAGTCGGTACGTCTGTCATCACCATCCCTGTCTTTACTTCCCCTAAGACTCTTCTTGTCCTTACTTCACCAAAGAACGACATTGTCCATACTTCCCACGTGACTGACCTCGTCCATACTTCCCCTAAGACTGCCCCTGTCTATACTTCCCACGTGACCAACCTTGTTCACGCCATCATACCAACCCCGCCCGTCCCACCAGCACTCTGCACTCTGTACCAACCTCCCAACACTTGTAGACAACTCAAAGATCCAGTCTCCTGTAATGCATTTTTAACCCCTTGGCCAAGGATATGACCCTCTGATTGGTTCAGTGCTTACCACGTGATCTCCTTTTCTCAGAAACCCCAAGAAGATGGACGTCGTGGCCGCCATGCCACTGGCGAATGTCAGTGATCCCGCCCCCTTTTCAAGGGCGTTAATGACGGCTTCTGCTGCCTCTGTGGTTGGGTTGGAGAGTCTAGAGTAGATGGGGGCGCCCTGCAAGGAAGGAGATGGGGAGTTTAACAAAATCTCAATTTTCCGATGCGTTCTTTTAAATCACCGAAAGTCTGGAGGCGACTGGAGAGCGTTTTGACATTAAGGAAAAGATATGGGGGAAGGGGGGCAGTGAACCCCTAAACTGGGACACCAGCAATGGCGGGGAGACAATTGCGCGCTTCGGGAAACAAGTAGCTGACAGGAAGACTAGTGCGCGCTTCAAGGTGGAGACAAGTGCCTGGCAGAAAAACAAATACCTGACCGGGAGACAACTGCATGCTTTAATGACGAGCCAAGTACCGGGCAAGGAGAAAACTGCGAGCTTCAAAGTGGAGACAAATACCTGGCAAGGGGACAACTGCGTGCTTTAATGACGAGCCAAGTACCTGGCAAGGAGACAACTGGGAGCTTCAAAGTGGAGACAAATACCTGGCAAGGGGACAACTGCGCGTTTTAATGACGAGCCAAGTACCTGGCAGGGAGACTACTGCGCGCTTGCAAGTGGAGACAAAAGCACCGATTGCTACCGTGGCGTGTACAACTATAAATAAATATTTGTATTTTCGTTTTGTGTGCTTTTTTGCTTGAAAGTTCCATTTCAACGTCCTTAAGAGGTAGTTTGTTCCCGTAGTATTTTAGGCCAAATCTCTCAATCATAAGTCAAGTTTTTCTCAATTTACAAATCAAATCCCCCAATTTATGTAAATTCTCTAAATTTAAAGTCAAATCCCTCAATTTTAAAACAATTCTCTCAATTTTAATTCAAATATCTCAATTTTAAGACACTTATCTAAATTTTAAGTCAAAGCCTTCAATTTTAAAACACTTCTCTCAATTTTAAGTCAAAGCCCTCAATTTTAAGTCCAATCCCTCAATTTTAAGTCCAAGCCCTCAATTTGAAGTCAAATCCATCAATTTTAAGTCAACTCCCTCACGTTTAAGTCAACTCCCTCACATTTAAAAGGCCCAACAGTTCTAGAGATTAGTTCATTAAATTACCACACCAGTGTCCCCGAATTCCTCGTGGATTTCTCGCTCTACTTTCTTCTGTCGAAAAAACAAACAAACAACTGGAGCACACCCTAATTTTCATCGGCCAAAGGTCAAGACAAAGGTCAAGACAAAGGGATATCAACTTACAACAAGATGGAGCCATCGCTTTAAATTTATCGTTGCATAAATTTACACAAGATATAGCCCTACATTTTTTTTTACATTTTCATTCGAGATTTTGGATATGAATTTTACCATGTTGGTGTGGAGGTTATCTTCCCTTTATGTCATTGAAAATGCTTCCTTCTACCTAGCCCGAGGCTACATGCACCATGTGGCTGACGCTCAAAAATTCCACGGTAGTCTTTTCATTCATACATTCAATTCAATTCTAAGCAGACCTTGGGGGGGGGGAGGNTGGAATTGTCGCTGGTACGTGTTTAACGCCTTGGTCCACTTCTGGGCCTATGGAATCGAGATTTGGAATGAATTGGTTCAAAACTCGCTTTATAACACAGATTCATAGAATGATAGATGTCGTCATCGTCCCTCCCCCCAGCCCCCGACCCCCCTCCCCCCCCCCCAAACACCCTAAAATAAGAATGATAATTTGAGAGCAAATCTAACCAGCGACTACGCCACGACCCTTTCAACAATTTTAAGGAACAGTTCATTTCGTTGCTATTCTTTCCTTTCAGCGCCCGGGGGGGGGGGCAGGGGGAGAGACCGCTCGGGACCTGTTCTGTAGCCAGGTCGCTTGTTGGCTTAACTATTGGCGCAATCTGAATATTTAAAAAAAAGTAATCGCTTAGATATCTAGATCTATAACACACAGTAAGCCATGGTTCAGAAGGGAACACTCTTTAGGACACAAAGACTTTTTTAGAATTCCATTTGGTTACGTCACTGTGTTGAAAGAAAGAGGAAGAAAAAAAATAACTGAAAGAATTCGGTTTGAGCAACCACGTGACCTATTCAGCTGACAACAACAAAATCTGACCGCTAAAATTGAATAATTGATTTTCGTGGTGTTAATATTCTTTACACTCTGTTAAACTGAGATCTCATTTTCATTTAGTAATTCCGTTAATTTTTAATCATTCAGTCGGCGAATATGTCCACACATGTTGTTTCTAACTGGACATTGTATGTCATACGGTAGTCGCGAGCCAACGCAACGGTCAGTTCTTCCTTGTTTCGATTATTGCGCTGCACGTCAGGGTCTCTGGTGGTTTGATAAGCTCCAAGTCATTAACAGTGCGGATGTGGTTATCAGGTGAATTTAGGAAGGTATTTTGACAGCGCGTCCATGGTGTAGTGACGCCGTTTGTCTGCAGGCACGCGTCGGTGACATCGTGTGACAGTGACATCAGAACCTTTACCCCCGCAAGTCTTGCACATATCACCTACACTTGTACCGATAAAGGGGCGCGTTGGCCGTCCGACAGCTCTAGCGAGTTGGCCGTCCATCAGCTCTAGCATCTCAGGTAAAAAGCATCACTCACCTTCCAAAAACTATCTCGCGAGATCCTTCAACGACTCGCAGGTGTCTCGGGATACACCATTCCAAAACGACTACTTCCCTCGATCGAAGCAAAACGAAACGATCCTGCTACCTCAGAAGGTCTGAGTGTTTGCTTCCTGACCATGCAACCTCAGACGGTCCCAGTGTTTGCTTCCTGACCGAGCAACCTCAGAAGGTCAGAGTGTTTGCTTCCTGACCGAGCAACCTCAGAAGGTCTGAGTGTTTGCTTCCTGACCAAGCAACCTCAGAAGGTCTGAGGGTTTGCTTCCTGACCCAGCAACCTCAGAAGGTCTGAGTGTTTGCTTCCTGACCAAGCAACCTCAGAAGGTCTGAGTGTCTGCTTCCTGACTGAGCAACCTCAGAAGGTCCGAGTGTTTGCTTCCTAACCAAGGAATTTACGGACTCAACACCCCACCCCCCCTACCTTTTTTTTTTTTTGGTTCTCTTAGGAATGACCTTGACAAGCTCACGACCTCTACGTCGTGATTACCGTAGCTTGTTCAGGTAATTTCCCAACATTTTCGAACCTCGGACAAGATCCAAATCTCCCTCTTGTCCAAAATCCAAGCGTCGCCCAATATCGCAGTGGTTCGCATAATCACCCCCCCCCCTTACTCAGACATGTTCAAAACAGTAGCATCTAAACCAGTGGTTCTTAACCAGGGTTCGATCGAACCCCAGGGGTTCGGTGAGTCAGCCTCAGGGGTTCGGCGGAGGTAAAAAAAAATAATTAAAAAATACATATTTGATCTTTCCTATTAAGAAGGGTTAGGTGAATGTGCATATGAAACTGGTGGGGTTCAGTAACTCCAACAAGGTTAAGAACCACTGATCTAAACATTGCTAAGTCCTAAAGATACTGCCTAGGTAACTAAATTCTGAAACCATCACCAGGATATCTTACACAAGGATTCCATTATTCGGCCTTGACAAGTTAAAACACCTGTCTCAGGTACAGGAATGTAGTGTCTGTACACAACTCTACTCAGTGCTATGTTACATAGACAAAGCCAAACATGATACATTTAAAGTTATGGAATATAATTTAAATTGATTATTCGATAGAAAGAATACAATGTAATTTGATCGTGTTATTACCATGAAAATTAATTCAAAAACGAACAACGATTATACAAGCTTAGTATTAATAATTAATGTTATTCTTAACGCAATATTAATATTTGTTATTCAACACACATAAAATGATACTAAACACCAATATTTTCATGAGCAAGAAAACAATCATTAATAATTAATAGCATATATGCACAGTTTATTTCTTTTTTTTTTGTCCCAGGCCTGAATGGGCCTAACATGGGCCATGTATAAGGTTTTCTCAAACCAATCGAGATAGTATGTCTGCAGCAAAATTGTCAGAACCCTTGATATGCTGCACAGTGAAACTATACTCTTGCAGCATGAGGGCCCATCTACATAGACGTGAGTTGCCTTGATATGCTGCACAGTGAAACTATACTCTTGCAGCATGATGGCCCATCTACATATACGTGAGTTGCCTTGATATGCTGCACAGTGAAACTATACTCTTGCAGCATGAGGGCCCATCTACATATACGTGAGTTGCCATAGATTGCGCTTTGTAGGAATGACAGCGGCTTGTGATCACAGAGAAGTTCAAAGACCTGTCCATATAAAATTTAGAGAGCCGCTGTACAGACCATACAATTGCCAGGCACTCTCTCTCAATAACAGAATAACGTTGCTCTCTCGCTAAAAGTTTTCGACTTATGAATCTGACGGGATGAAGTATTCCTTCAAACCTCTGCATCAAACAACCAGAAATACCAATATTTGAGGCGTCCGTTTGGAGAGTAAATGGTTTTGTGAGATCGGATAGTTTAAGAATGAGTTCACTGGCCAGATGTGTCTGAATACTTTTCAGGGCGCCATCGAATTTAGGGGACCAATCAATTTTTGAAGATGCCCCTTTTCGTAAAAGGTTTGTCAAATGATGCACACTATCAGAGAATTTAGGAATAAATTGGTTATAATGATTAACAAGTCCCAACAAGCTCCTCACTTCCTTCTTAGTCCTAGGGGTACTCAATTGGAGGATTTTCTCAATGTTATCTAGATCGGCTCCTTGATTCCCTTTTCCCACACTGTGCCCTAAAAAGGTAATTTTAGAGAAGCCACGGTCTAGTTGTTAGGTTTTGCCATAAATCCTGCCTCCCTTTTTTTCATAAAAACCTTATGTAAGGTTTCTATATGTTCCTCCCACATTTGAGTCTGAATACAAATGTCATCAAAATAGGAAAACACATTGTCGATGTCCTTCAAAAGTGTTCTAATAACTCTGGCAAAGATAGAGGGACTGTTATTTAGACCAAATGGCAAGTAACAAAATTGAAAATGACCCAACGGTACTCTAAAAGCTGTGAAAGACTTGCTATCTTCGGATATAGGAATCTGCTAGAACACCTTAGTAAGATCTATTTTCGAAAAATGTGTGGCTCCATATAATGCCGAGAAAATATCCTATGGGTTACGAATTACCTCGGCGTCAAATTCTGTAACGGTGTTAAGTTTGCGATAGTCCACGCTGTTGCGAATAGAACCGTACTTTTTTTTTAACCAATACAACGGGGGCGACATAAGGTGATCTACTTTCCTCAATGATCCCCAGCTCTAAAATATTTCTTATTTCCTGATCCAATTTTTCTCTCAAGTGTAATGGGACTGTGTATTGTTGTAATGGGACTGTGTATTGTTGTAATGGGACTGTGTATTGTTGTAATTGGACTGTGTATTGTTGTAATGGGACTGTGTATTGTTGTAATGGGACTGTGTATTGTTGTAATGGGACTGTGTATTGTGTTAAAGCTATCGGTTTGTCGGATGTTACTTTGATTTCAAACTCTTCTACTCTTGCCTTTCCTGGAATGTCCGATATGACGTCACCATATGTTGTTAGTAATCTATTAATGTCGTCGGTTTGACATGGTGTCAAATCAGGATTAATGCTGATTTGCTTGAGTTTGTCGTTGTCTTTGTAAGTCAAGGTTGGTAAAGATGTAATGTCAGAAGTAATGTTTAAATCACTTTCTTCGTCCAAGTCATCATCCGTAATGATGGAAGCCATGCAACCCTCAAGTATGTGTATGTTATTATCTGGAGTCACTGTTTCATCCTTATGACGTCATGATATTTGACCACTCTGTTGATATGATAGGTTTTGGGAGACATACCTTTCTTAATGGTAACATTAATTTAGACGTACGTCGAATAACTGGATATGGCCCATCCCAGAATAAAGACCATCTTGTTATGTCTTTTAGGTTTAAGTAGCAGTACGTAGTCTCCTACTTCAGTATTCTTAGAGATAGTCTTTTTGTCGTAATGTTCTTTCATTTTAAGTTTTGAGATCTCATTATTGAAGAGCGCCAGTTCTGTTGAAATTTGAAGCCTGTATCTCATGTCCAATAAATATTCGTATACAGTCTTTGTTTCTCCATTTATGAAATCATCAGTAAATAAATGTTTCATGATGGACATGGGGCCTCGGACTTAACGTCCATAAACCATTTCATAAGGAGAAAATTTTGTGGCTTCATTTGGCACTTCTATAAGGGCAAATAATGCTGCACTTATAAATCTATCCCAGTTATTGGGTTCTCTCACAGCTAGTTTTTGCAGCATTGGTTTAAGAGAGCTATTGAATCTCTCAACCACCCCATTCGAACTGGGATGATATGGGGAAGACATTATTCTTTTGATACAAAAAAAAATGTGTGACAGCGTGAACAGCTGCAGCACACGCCAAGGGATCAAGGCGGAAACACTTGTAGAGTTAGGTGTCATCCGCAAATATTGTGCGGGAAATACCATGACTTTCAATAATTTTGCCGAGCTTGCTTGTGTACATGGAGAACAGAAAAGGTCCTAAAACTGATCCCTGTGGCACACCGCAGGTAACGGAAGTGTCCATGGAAGATGCTTGCTTCACTACAATACTTCAGATAAGAATAAAACCAGCGAAGTGCAGTTCCAGAAATGCCTGCCTCATTCAAAAGTCTTGACAGAAGAAGCTCATGGTCAATCACACCAAAAGCAGCACTGAAATCCAACGGGACCAAAATTGTCAGATCGCCACGGTCAGCACTACAAAGAACATCATTCATGACACGGAGCAGTGCTTTCTCACTGGGCTAAGCTAGTGAGTTGCTGTGGAGTGGACAAGGAGGGCTCAGCTAGGGAGTTACAGTGGAGTGGACAAGGTTGGCTAAGCTAGTGAGCTGCTGTGGAATGGACCAGGAGGACTCAGCTTGGGAGTTACAGTGGAGTGGATAAGGATGGCTAAGCTAGTGAGTTGCTGTGGAGTGGACCAGGAGGACTCAGCTAGTGAGTTACAGTGGCGTGCAGTTAATGGACGTAGATAATTAAGCTAATGTTACTCACAATCTGTATCTCAATTTCAGCCACAATACTCAACACTGCTGCAGTTGTCTTTTAGCGTTTGTGACAGTTATCATGGATGTAATTGTAATGAATGTCTGCTTCAGTTGTGATGCGTGTGAAGGAGATACACATCCATCAGTCGTAGCAGTTATTACTTAGTGTAACTAGGTGCACTTTTCAAGTGGCCCTTGCGCCCACTCACCCCATCCTGCACCCACTATCAAGTACTTTTTTTAAACGTCTTCTCTAACCACTTATAACGAAAAAATGCGGGACCACCAATTTTAGTACAAACATCTCCACACAAGGCCTCAAAAGGGGCCGTTTTTCCGCGGTGTGGAGTTCAAACGGTGCGTTTGTAAAAACACGGCGTCGAACATCTTCATACAAGAAGTACAAACAACTCGGTCGCCGCGAATCTTATTTTGTCTCTTAAGAATGGGCTTAAATTAATTTAATTTTTTTTTAATCATTTTTTTTTCATGTCTGTTCAAATAACGGTCTTAAGGGGACATCAAACATCGCGATGGCTAAAAGGAAGATTTTTTAAAATGTCGTCGGCTTTTCTTTTTTTTTAAATCTTTTGGATGAACTTACTGTTAATTCTTTCAATACTTATTTTATTTCGCTTTAATTTTTTTTTAAAATATTTAAAAAACGACCTGTTCTGGAAAATTGACATAAAGAAGAAAAGTGAAGTTGTTATTGGATGTTATGAAATAGATTGACCTAGTTTGCTCACCGGTGATGTGGCCATAATCAACCACGCCCATCTTTACCAACATTTTTTTTGTTTAATTGAATAAATAAATTTAAAAAAAAAAAAACTTAACTGCTTATAAGCAAGAGATTTCTTTAAGGAACAGTCTTAATTTGTGTACGTCACGTTTGTTACGTTGGTGAATTGTGTGTCAGTCAAGGGGGCCAGAAGGGTACACACACACACACGGACACATACACACGCACGCACGCACATGTGGCTCTAATAAAGTCAATGCACACTTTGACTAGTTGACTGGGTCACAAGAACTTACAACGTCAATGTTACGGGTGTACGCAGGTCTAAGACGTGCATATGGAATACGATTTCTGAAGAAGAGAGGGGTTGGGGGTTGCTGGGGCGGAGGAGGGGGGGGCTGGGTGGAGGATGATGAATGAACATATTAACAGTGCAAGTAAACTAAGGTTAACAAGAGCGGGTCTCAAGTCTTTTTCACCGGTAGCTTTTTCTTTTTTTTTTTTTTAAATTATTTTCAAGGTGAATAAAATGATTTGAATCTTTTGATGGAATGAGTCAGCTAGTGAGGTGCTAAAAAGTCGGCTTAGAGAGCATTGAATCTAGCGTTCTAATGCGGTTAAGCCCTGGTATGATTTAATGCTGTTGAACCCTAGGATGATTTAATGCGGTTAAATCCTAGTATGATTTAATGCTGTTGAATCCTAGTATGATTTAATGCGGTTAAGCCCTTGCATGATTTAATGCGGTTAAACCCTAGTATGATTTAATGCGGTTAAGCCCGTGTATGATTTAATGCGGTTAAGCCATTGTATGATTTAATGCGGTTAAACCCTAGTATGATTTAATGCGGTTAAACCCTAGTATGATTTAATGCGGTTAAGCCCTTGTATGATTTAATGTGGTTAAGCCCTTGTATGATTTAATGCGGTTAAACCCTAGTATGATTTAATGCGGTTAAAACCTAGTATGATTTCATAGACCGGCAACAAAAGGAAAACTATTAAGTTGTTGTTTATTTTACTGCGCTCGGTTACTTGTCATACACTTTTAGCATACCTTGTCCTTACATTTCATTTACGTAGAGATCTCTTCCGTAGTTTGTGTGGTAGCCACAGTCCGTAGAGTGTGGCAGCCACAGTCCTCAGACGGTGTACTCTGAAATCACACATCGTAGCCTTACTGGCGTGATAGAACTATTTCTTTCTGGGCCTTCAAATTACCACACATGATTTGCCTTCATAAAATGTTGCCCTTATCAAATTTTAACTTAATCATATTTTCCCATCAAATTATCAAATTTTCACCTGATCAATTTTTGCCTTCATCATATTTTGTCCTTATCAAATTTTGCCTTTATTAAATGGCGCCCTTATCAAGCGGAAGGTGTTACCGTTCTATGACTTACGCTTTGTCCTAAAACTTTCCTGGGTTTAGGAGTTTAAAGATGTTATACATTGCATTACAACTTAAAGGAACTAATACATAGGTCACTTGCTCAAGCAACTGCAAACACTTATTGCGAATGCGAATGGTGATATTCTTTAGTTTTTGATGTAAAGGGGCATATGTGATCTTCAAATACTAATTTAAAAAGCCTAAAAATGAAATCTATGCAGAACTAAGTCGCAATATTATACGGCAAGGTAAAGGACTCATTTGAAAATTTCCAGGTCAAAATTTTGTGACTCATTATCAAGTGGGAAAACCTGATTTAAAAGTAATTTTCGGTTTACTTTCTGTGCGTCGCAACACCAGAGCCTATGTGTAGAGGACGTAATGGTATCATGGAACTTGTTGCGCTTAGAACAGAATCGTACGAGAGAAGTTTGTTTCAGTTCGATACTTACTTCTACGATACCGGAAATGCTATCTTCCATCTTCTTGACCACGTAGGTGCTGGAGTGGTAGATGGGCATGACCAGGGGGTCGGTCTGGGGTCCCTGGCGCTGCAGCCTGGCTGACACAGTGGCCGTGGTCGGGGTGACATCGTCGAGGGTCAGGCCCTCCACACCCAGGTCGTAGTTGGATTTGGCGGGGGTGTGTCTGATACTCTGGCGACTGGAGGAATGAGATGGAATGTTAGTTTTGTTGTTTAGCAAGATAGATGGATTAGATGGAAGGGTGGGTGGGTGGGATGATGGATGGATGGATGGATAGATGGATAGATAGATACACTGGCGTAAGAAGCGTGGGGTGGAGGGCGCGGTCCGCCCGGGGTGGCACTTCTTTCTATTTATGAGGCGCGGCATTTTCGGAAACTCCAGTGTTTTTTTTCATAGGGAAGGCGCCTAAAACCTTGAACCTCCCCTGGCGGCACTAATCGTAGCTAAATGTCATCAAAGAAAAAAGTAGGCCTACATGAAAATTACCCCTACACCCACCATAAATCAAACACTGCTTAATGTACCCAGAGGCGTAGCCGGACTATTTGGTTCGCTTGGTTTGGACACACCTTATCCGGAAATTGATAGCACAAAAATCTGACGTATTTGTATTTACGTAATTTTTGTTTTCATATTACGATCGTCCTAATATCTTATTGATCTCTCATCCGTCATCAGATCCAGACGATTCAGATGAGTCGTCCCCGGGGGAGGGGGTCACCAAAATCTGCCTGTCACAAAATTCACGCTACGCCACTGGGTGCAGTCAAGTTACAAACCAAACAAATGCAGACATTACACGCAGAAATTAATTTCTGCGAGTCAAAAATATAGTGATATACTTCAACATAACTTGTAACATACACAGTGGTAAAAGTTAAAGTAATTCTATCTACTTAACTCTTCTTCTGACATCCTCGGGAACACAGGGCACCAAGAAGTGCTGCACTACAAAGTAGGTACGAAATAGAACAAGACAACTACGCTTAACACTACAATAGTATCTTATAATATATAACCGATGATGACTCGACTAAACACTACACGTGATGATGAGGGCAGGTCACGGCTGGCGAGACAACTGCTGCTATCCGGTCAACAGTGACACAATATGCCCGTAATTGTGTTTTTGGGGACCGGAGTCTATCTTTACGACATACATCCCGTGTGGCTATCGTGTGGCCCAATTTCAAACAACGATGCCCACGTGACCAGTAGCCGTTAACCCCGGCACGCAACAAGTGGCAGAGCAGACTTTTCTTTCGCATAACCTTGAACTTTGCACTACGTAGATTGTCTTACCTCATTGTGTAATCTGTGCGATAAGAAAAAGAAAGAGAGAGAGAGAGAGAGAAAGTGTAATGAAATGAGAGAGTTTCTAGCTCCAGTCAGCTGGCAAGTCAAGCTGGTATCTTGAGTTGTGGCGATAAGCTCGTTAGGTCACAGCCAGTTCCAGATTATACAACAGGTCGTCCCAAGGTCTGTCCAGACTCCGTCAATGGGAGGCCCAGTGCATGAAATAATGTCGGTGATGGGAGAACCCAGAGAACTGCGCACGACCTGTTAGTCCAAGCTGCACTCAAACCTTTATATAGGTTGGCAGTGTAAACATGGTGGAGCAATCGGGGTAGTAGGGGTGGGGTGGGGGGGGGGG